GGGGTGAGCCTCACTTCAGGGGGGAGAATGTTCCACAAGGAGGGAGCCACGGCAGAGAAGGCCCACCTCCTGGGACCCACCAAATGCAAGTCCCAGGCTGATGGAATGCGTAGCATGCCCTCTGCTGGATCTAATGGGACAGGCTGATGTGATTGGGGAGAGGTGGTCCCTCAGATAACCCGGCCCCATGCCATGAAGGGCTTTAAAGGTCAACACCAGCACCTTGAATTGGACCCGGAAGCATATTGGCAGCCAATGCAGCTCACGAAGCAGAGGTGTAACGTGTGCTCTTCTAGGAGCACACATAACTGCCCGCGCTGCTGCATTCTGCACCAGTTGAAGCTTCCAGATACTCTTCAAGGACAGCCCCATGTAGAGCGCATTACAGTAGTCCAATCTGGAGGTGACCAGGGCATGAGTGACTGTGAGCAGAGCTTCCTGATCCAGGAAAGGGCGCAATTGGCACACAACACAAAGTTGTGCGAAGGCCCTCCTAGCCACAACTGCCACCTGCAGTTAATCCTCAGATTACTGAGAACAGAGGAGCTAGAGAAGGGTAGAAACCGTCCTTTATCAAAGAATAATAGATTCAAGGAGGAAATTGAGGCCAATGTCTGGCCTCAAACCTGGAGCTAAAAAGATAAGAGGACAATAGTGGTTCCCCAAACATAAGCAACTAGATTGCTGATTGAATTCCAACTTAGCACAGTTGTCCTCTGTGGGTGTGCAAGGGACGTAATGCATGCAGGTCTCTCTTCTGTCACTGCAGCTTCTTTGCACCTACTTCCTGAGATCTTTCTTCACTTTGCCTGATAGTAGAGCCAGCCCCACCACCCCTACCCTGCCAGTGAAGTTCAGTAAAGAGCAAGATTTGGGAGAAAAACTAAATGCCAGGAAACTGAACCAGGAACTTTCTGCATGCAAAACATGTGCTCAACCGCTGAGCGATGGCAACCCCTCCCTGAATAGGGGAAGCCCACTGTCCGGGCTGTGTATATCCTGCCATTCTGCATAAACGTAGCCAGATTTTCTGCTGGCTGTTGAATTCAGTATTCTCAGGATGTAACTGGAGGGGGGCAATGGCTTCACCCTTTGCCTGAACTGCCCATTAACCTTAATGCACACTTGATAGGTACCAACCTATAGAAAGCTGCATGTAGAATAGGAAGCAACATTGGGTTAGAAGGGAGAAAAAGATTTGGAGGGCTATCTGGCCTCCCTGCATCCCTATGAATGATTTATTATGTGCCATCAAGTTGTTTTTGACTCCTAGTGACCACATAGATCAGTGTTGTCCAACCCTGGCCACTTAAAGAGGAGTGGATTTCAACTCCCAGATTCCCCAGGCCAGCCATGGAGTTAAAGTCCCCTCA